GTACAAGTTGCTGAGCAGGTGCCGGCATCGAGGCAGGTGCCGACGTCACGTACAGGTTGCTGGGCAGTTGCCGGCGTTGTTGGACGGTGCCGGCGTCATGGCCAGGTTACTCGGCAGGTGCCAGCCTCGTAGGCAGGTGCCGGCGTCACGGGCAGGTTGCTGGGCAATTGCCGGCGTCGTTGGACGGTGCTGGCATCGTGGGCAGGTTACTGGGCAGGTGCCGGCATCGTGGGTGTCATGGGCAGATGCCGGTGTCACGGGCAGGTTACTCGGCAGGTGCCAGCGTCGTAAGCAGGTGCCGGCGTCATGGGCAGGTTGCTGGGCAGTTGTTGGTGTTGTTGGACGGTGCTGGCGTCATAGGCAGGTGCTGGTGTCATGCACGTTCAGAAGTTGGACTTAAATTTCCTTTTTGTGGGACTTTGTCTGCTTTTTCAGCAGTAGTCTACATTTGTTTAGTGTGGACGGAGAATACCCTGAGAAGGCTAAAACACCTTGGAAAACATCTGAGGCTTTTCGGTAACTGAGATATGCAGTAAGCCATACAGTCATTTCACCAAATCAAACATTACGTTCTCATCCCAGATGTATTTTCTGTTCATGAAAAGTATTGCTGGGAGTGTGTGTGTGTCTAGCTGTGTGTATGTGGGTGACTTAAGCTTCATGTGATTCCTTTCCTGTCTGAACAAGCTGCTCCCCAGATTCCTGAACTTCCGTGATTCTTTAAAGTCCTCGCATGCACACAGTTCCAGCTTTTGCTGTTTCCTGAGTCAGATGGAGAGATGGAAAAATCCTCTGTTTTCGTAAACCCACAATAAAAAGTGGAATTTCCCCCTTCAATGCCACAGTGCTCAGTGTCTGAGGGTCTTTTTCCGTTTGAAGACAGCCCCAGAGGGTTTTAGAACTTATCATCGCATCTCTCTCTCACAGGACCCTTTTCTCTGAGCCAACCTCTTGTGCTCTGATTGCTCTTTATCACCATGTCTCCTTCCTCTCTTCTCAGTCTCACTCAGACACACACTGTTTCAGCCCGACGTGCGAGCAGACTGCACAAAGAGTGTTTGTCTCACTCGGTCACATCGTCAATCACTCCTTTTCTCTTCATCCACGCTTTCTCTTTCCCCCCTCTCTGTGACTCTCTGTCTTCTTCGCACATTTGCATTCTTTTGCTCTTTTTTTGTCTCTGTATCTGTGGTTTACACTGCGTTTCACTTTGTGTCACTGTCTCGTCCCCGAGATGTCGAAGTCACTCTTTCCCTGTGTGTGCGCGTACATGCCTGCTCTTACGGGTGCTCCTGGTTCACTTCAATGTGTTGGTGTTTGCTCCATGTTGGCTTCACACCTTTTTGAAAACCCGAAAAAGCCAGATGCGCTCACCCAACCGAATATACAGGAGATGGGTTTCCGGGAGAACAGAGGGCTCTCACATCTAGCTGCAAAGCTACTTCATGCAAAAAAGAAGCTGAACCATGATGTTGGAGGCTTGTATTTTGTTGTTTATCTCCTCTCACAGTTACAGTCTTCAAATCAGCAGATATTTTGAGCACTTTGGAAATCTGTCTGTTTGAACAGAAGCAGAAAGCATGCAATGTATTCTTACGGGCTGATTTTTTTTTTTTAAAAAGAGAGAAAAATTCCCCCAAAATTAGCATGGATGTGAAAGACAAAAGTCTGCGCTGCATAAATGGAGAGGAAACGAGCCCAGCGCTGCCTGGCTCCGCAGTGGGCTGTGACAGCAGTCGGCTTCACACACAGGCTCACTGCGAGCCCCCCCCAAAGGGCTGCCATGTCAACATGTCAACTGTCAGATACGGTTCCTTCTGTTGCTGCTCGCCGCTCGCTCACGCCGGCCTGTAAAACTGTGTCACCAGGGCAAAGGGGACGGGAGAGCCGTGACTGTTTGTGTTTCTCCTCTCTCCCATGGGAGCGCTGATGGAGTCACACTCTCCCAGTCTTTCCCTCCCTCCCCCCGCCCCCCCCATTCTAAAAGTCACAGGATCAGGTGTGAATTTCTGCTCCACTTGTGGTCCCACAGTTTATCCTCTCGCCTTCCCAGGAAATGGTGTGATATTAATAATGGATTGCAGGAATTATTTCTCACTTCATGCGTCCTTTCAGCCCTTCACAGGGGTTTCTCTGTTTATTATTTGATAAATGGATTTGTTTTGCATTTTTTCACACAAGAGCGGAACAATCCGCGGAGTTAATAGTATTGTCCTTGATTTTATTGGAGCCCTTTCAGTTGTAATTTGTTGTGGGCCTTTGTTCAGAGATGGAAAAAGTCAGAATGGCCTGCAAAAGCATACAATCACAAGACAGACAGGTTGTAGTTTAAGTTTTTAACGTCAAAATCTGCCTAAAGGCGGCAAAGCCCAGGTCCAATGATTGTGCTTTAGTTTTGGTTATTTATGAGCTCCAGTTAGCACTGACACAAACACTCAGCTGCACAAGCCCCATTTGAAGCTCGTTTATTTTCTTATTTATAATCTCACAATAAGATTCTGAAACTGACACCACAAATGAATGGACAAGATTGACCCGACCAGTCTTCAAATCAGCCGGGCTACCTTCTGTACTTTTGTTCTGAACTAACTTAATCGCACATTTACCACCATTGAGACAAGGCTGTACACCTCATTATTTGAATGAAGTAATAATCTGATCAGATCTAACAGTTGTATGTGCAGTTTGGTGAACCAAACTGTGTCAGTGAATATTTCTAGAAGTCAGAGAAACAAATCTCCCACAGTGTTTTGCTCTCAGGACGTTTTAGCTTGACTCCACCGTTGGGATGGTGTCACGCATCATACACAGGCATTCATCATCCGAAGCCCATCAACTTGTTCTCCACTTTGGGGTCGGAACTAGATTAAATTAGGCTCAACACGGGTGATTCACCGATGGTTTTATGTAAGTGCCATGTTTCTGCAGCAGCAGGGGGGGGGTTTGAATAATTGACGTGTCTGCAGAGGGAGATGGAGACTGGGCTCTCACTGTTCTGTGACCTTTTTTTTTTGCTGGAATCCCACGCAGACCTCTGAACTCGGAGCAACACGCTGAGCAGCGAGGTGACCCTCTGTTGTCTTTCCCTCTCTGCAGAAGTCGGACCATGGCCAGGTGCTGCTGGACGCCGTCTTTAAGCACCTGGAGCTGACCGAGAGGGACTACTTTGGCCTGCACCTGGCTGACGATGCATCAGACGCTCCGGTCAGTACACCTGCTCCCACACGACTGCGTGCGGCTGTTTGTGGGGTTTCTGATTTAAGCGATGTGTGGTTATGCATCCGTTAACCTAACAGAAAACAAAATTAAGCGTCCTCGTTTCACATCGATTTGCGTCTATGTGCTCGAGTATTTCTGCGTGCGTGGGTGTGTCTATGTTGAATTATTTAGATTGTGTGGTTATGCTTTATGGTGTCTCTAAGTGACTCTGAATCAATATTTTACAGCGCTGGCTGGATCCCAATAAGCCCATCAGGAAACAGTTAAAACGTAGGTGCCATCCACTCCACACCACCTTATCTTCTCCGCTGCATTGCAAATGAGACATCAGAAGGTCCAGAAGGTCCAGAAGGTCCAGAAACAAAGTAGACTTTAGTCAACCAAGCCTGGGTTGAAGTGTTCTCCACCAGGCTGAAGCAGAAGTCTGCAGTCTGGCCTCAGAAACAGCCATGACTCTCCAGAGCATAGTGTCATATACAATTCTCAGTTAGCTGTAAGCAATGATTAAACTTCAGCTGAACCCTCCTTTATTTGAGATAATGAGACATAAAATTAGTTAAATGTGAGCAATGTAGGAGCCGCTGAAGTGAAATCAGAAGCTCCCCTCCAGCGATGATTGAACTGTGCTTCAACTCTGTTTTCATGATGGCTGATTGACTCAAGAGTCAAAATATCACAGAGTATTCTGGGATCTGACCCACAAATGTACAATTTGATTACTTTATCTGTATTATACATTTGACGATTATGCTTATGATGATAATGATTGAAATTATTGTAATTATTGATTGTAATAATGATAGTAGTTCTACATTAGTCGATATCGTCTGGACTTTAATTGAGGATCACGTTACACGTAAGCAGCTTGTTCTGTTTTTTCATGCATCTGTATGTTGTGTCTTTGGTCTCTAACCTTCCATCACTATATTTCTAGGGGGGTCTCCACACAACCTGAGCTTCAGAGTCAAATTCTTTGTGACCGACCCCGGAAAACTTCAGGAAGAATACACACGGTGAGAGGCTTTGCTGGCCTTTTTAAGGCTTAGCTGCTGATTTGTGGGTTGCTCCTGTTGATGCTTGTTTTACTCGTTTTGGCCTAATTTGGTTCCTACGTAAACAATTATATTTTTATGATTTGGAAAGTAGGACCCTTTTCGTATGTGTACATATGAGTGTAATATTATTTTGCTACATGCTGAGGACATTTTTGAGAATTATTTTCCAATAAGCTGCTTGTCACATGGCATTTTAAACAAACGACGCCAGAAGCTTCAGAAGCATGGAGGGACACACGAGCAGACCATGACCATGCTATTCTTACAAAAATAATCACATTAATTTAGACAATAATTGGATACTTACATTTGAGTTTAAATTGTACATTTATAAAAGAAAGGAATCTACATCTGAAGATTCTTTAGAAGATTTTTAACAGCTTTGGGTTGTTTCAGAGGGGAGATTGAGCAGTACTCATAAGTGTTTGTGGTGTAAACTGGAGCCAGGATCGGAACAGATCCCTGTCAGCTTTGTTTTTACAGCAGATACAACCTCAGTTATTTGGTGCACAGATGAGCTGTTAAACAATCCTCATAAGAAAATATATTGGGCAGTTTTCTTCCGAAAACACATTTCACTCTAAAGCTGAGTGTAATATCCTGGAGAGGAATCCAAACTATTTCAAAAACATCTAATCTGAGGTGATGATCTTGTGAGAGTAATGCTTTGTGTTATCCTCCTCAGGTACCAGTATTTCCTCCAGATCAAACAGGACATATTAACTGGAAGGTTAGTATTTCAAACCTTATGTATTAGTTGTTGCATAAACAGTGCAAAGTTGTCCAACAGCATGAAGGGTGTGTGTGTGCATCATACATATGCAACAACGTGCTAATTATAGTTCTGAGTTCTGCTTTTTCTCTCTGGATTCCTCTCAGAAAAGTAAAATTGATCCTATTTTCTGTTTCTTTTTCTATCGCTATCAAAGATGAGGGACCTCTGCTCTTTAAAAGATAGCTTGTGTTTAGTCACAGGAATGACTTCTGTTTTAAATCTCTTCATTTTTATTTTGTTTGTCCCTACAAAATCCAGATTGCCCTGTCCCCACAACACAGCTGCATTGTTGGCATCCTACGCTGTTCAGTGTAAGTAGTTCTCCCTGGGTACACCCATCCCACCAACAATGGAATTCATTCATTAAGACTCTGGTTAAGTGCTCACACTGTTAAATGGAATGGCTATGGTCGCTGGAGTCCAGCTACAGCCCTGAAACCATCCTGATTAACTGTAAGCCATGAGGTGATATGCATATTAGCATTTGTAACCGTGCAGTAAAATCCTCAATCAGCTCTGTGTGGGGATTTAATGTCCAGAGTTCAGGTCAGTGAATATTTGGACTAATCCAGGGATCTAAAACCTGCCGGGGGCCACTGACCTGCTGGTTTGAGATGTTTTAGATGTTTCTACATGCATGATTTAGATTGACTAGATCTCTAAAGATTGTTAAGATCTTCCCAGCCTTCAAATGGTGCATTGATATGAATCAGGTGTGCTAAAGCAGGGAAACATCTCAAACCTGCAGGACATCAGCCCTCCAGGACCAGAGTTTGAGACCCTCGTAGAAACCACTTTTTCCCCTCTATATCCCTCAAAACACACCTGTCATTCAAGCTTCTGCTCTGTCTGACCATATTGGACTTTTGAATTTCACTCACTCATCACCACTTCAGAAAATGCTCCATGGTTGATAGCTGGAGGAGTTTTTATTTTTAGATTTTATAATTTTTTTAACCCCTTGTGGTGTTCAGCATTATGGCAACAGAATTGTAATCTGAGTGCCGTGCTCTGCCCGACACTTTGCTTTGACAAAGGAGGCTTGTCAGGGTGAGAAGCCTCCCTTGATCATCTAATACTTCTTTATTATTTATTTAAGATTTATTTTTGTTACAGAAGTAAGATGATTCATGCCAAACCTGACAGGGGGACAGGAAAAGAGAAAAAAAGACAGAAAAATGGAAAAAAAGGAGGAAAAAAATGTAATAAAAAATAAAAACATCCATTCAGCTGCTATATCTGTAGAAAACAAAAAGTGTCCTGTAGTGACCTGTGGGCAAACCCGAGGGAGAACCTCCATCTGCCGGAGGAGAATTCTGATGGCCAAACAAAAACGCTAACCCAAGGCCTTGCTTACCTTCTGACAACCTGCTGTGACTGTAAGGAGAATCTTTTCTCTGCTCATACAAACATCAAGCTATCTTCTGGTTGGGAGCAGCTACGCTCTGACTGTAGTGCACCACATGATTATAAATCCAATAGAAAACTAACCGTCTAATAAACTTGAATGACGAAAAAGAAAGAACTTTCTGTTGCATCCATCTACTGTTTCTATGTTTTAGCCCGATACTGAACGCTTAGCATGTTAATGCGAGTCTGTATGGTGACAAATCTGGGAAGGATTACCAAATTGCAATCTTCTGGTCATTTCCTGTGGACTGTCACACATCACTGTGTGAACTCTGTGTTCTTTTTTGTCACATGATGGATGTGAATGACCGAAGCTGCAAATCTTATGGAGGTTGTGTATGAAAAGGACTCCAGCTAAATGGATTTTTAACAGAAGAACCCGACTTGATTGTGCCTGCATAAACCTCCAGACCCCTGCGTTCCACTGGAGCTCCGCTTCAGAGTGAATCCCCCCTGCTGGGACATCGTGTTGGTCCTTTTTTCATTGTCTCACAGCGTCTTTCTGTTCGCCAGCAGTTCATTGTTTTCCTGACGTCTCTGCGCTCTGCCTGCTTTTTTTTCTCTTGAGGTTTTTCTCATCCCTTTCTTTGTGCCCCTCCCCCACCGGCATAACCTCACCTCTAACCCCAAATCCTTTTCTCCCTCCACATCCCTCTGTTTTGGATTTAGTAGGCACAGCTACAGTATGTAGGTCAAAGAGATTTGACCTAGACAAACAACACCTGACACTGCGGCTTTTGCTCTTATGCTCACACACACACACACACCGAGACACACACACACACCCGCACAGTTTTGCTCAGTCCGTGTTGTCACTTCTCACTGTCCCAGCACATATTATGGAGATAAATGTTAGCTTTGGGGAGATAAAGAGGAGGGGGGTGGCTGGAAGCAGCTGCTATGCTGCTAATTCAGCTGCTCTACCCAGCTCTCTAAATCCCTCACTACAGCCTCCATCCTCAAATCAGCACAAATCCCCCCTGGTAAATTCTGCTTTTGTGATTAACTGCACTCCCTGAAAACCACAGCAGCCTGCTCCTTAAATGAAATGTAAAATGTAAAATATATGTGTTTATGTTTAAATAAGCAGAAGCGAACTTGTTCAATGCAGTTTTCCCATATTTACAGAGACGTTTCATTATCAAACAATTTTCCATCTTTCTGAATGGGATGCCTCGGGAGTATTTTCATTGAATTTGACATGATGTTACCCCAACAGTAGCCATGGACCACATACACAGTGTACAACAGAAGAAGCCTCATGATGGGTTCTGTGTTATCAGGATCCTAAAAGCTCAAAGGCTGACATGGAACTGGCTTGTTTTTCTCTCAGTTGGAATTGAGATCTAAAGAAATTTGAATATCGAGTGAGACTTGATGCTTTTCGGGCCCGATTATTTTTCACCAAAGGCAAAATGCTTCCATGTAAAAGATTCTCGGTGTTCTTCCCCACAACTGTCCATTACCCCGCCGCTCATCGCTGTTGGAGCTGAACAGCTTCCGTCCCTGGTGGTGTGTACACTTCAACGAGCGTATAAGCTTTAATTGATTATTTGGTCAATATGCTTAGGCTGCTGGCTCTCCGGTCAGTCAGGGGACTGCTTGAGCTTATTGATGTTTTTGAAGCCTCAGCAGCTAGCGTGTGAGCTAATGGAATCTGCTCTCAGTTCCTCTTTTGTGAGGGCTCCGAACGCCTTCCCATTCATTTCATTCTTTCTTTACTTGTCCGCGAAAACACTTTTTTGATAATCTTTGAATGAAAATGGTTGTGATCCATGTCTAACTGTGGTTAATAGCTCCAGGTTACTGCTTGAAGTTCAGTGTTTAGACATAAATCACAGCTCTAATTCCTTTAGCTGTTGTTTTCATTTAGAGATTTAAATATTTGTCCTATTTACCCAGAAGTGCCCGGTCCTGGACCTGTGCTGCGTTCTGGTTCAGATTTAAATGATCAGGTTAATCTGCGTTTCTGTCAGTCTACAGTTACACTGATACCTTCTGTGTAGCTTCTACTGGCCTGGAGTTTGATCACACTACATACGGAGTGCTGTGGTTTCAATCCCAAGCTGTTTTCACAGTTCATTAGTCCTTTGTGTTCAGTTTGTGGGTACTCTTGTTGTTCCTTTGCGGAGGATTGTTTATTGGAGCACTTAGGGTTACTTTGCATTTTGTATTTATGTTAACAAACACATAACAGACAGAGAGCGAAAAGGGGATGACAAAATGTTATGATTTCTGTAGGTTAGTGTGAATCGAAAGTGGAAGGCTTTGTCTTATTTAACCACAATTAAAATGCCCATTTTCAGTCTGGGAAAAGTGACACTTTGTAAGCAATCCAAATTTTAGGTTTATTTCTCTCTGACGTGTAGAGGTTGTGTAGTACTGTCGCACACTTTCTGCTCACTTCACAGGGCCTTGGAAAAAATGAACCATCTGGGCATTCAGCCAGAAACAGGCAGTTTTCTGTTTTTATATCTTCGCACATAGTCATTGATAAGTTCTGATCACATTGATACTAATGATTTTATTCAGCTCAGGAACATTTTTTAAAAATGGTGCTGGAAGTTGTGCAGTGTGAATTATTCTACTCTTTTAAATTCTATTCCTTCCTGAAAACTTCCCCATCTTACGATTTTCAGATTGTTTGTCAGGCTTATTGTGAAAACTAGTTATTTGATATTTATTTACTAAATACTTAAAGTTGACCAGTCTTTAAAAAGACACTGTGCAAAGCCTGGATAATTATTGATGAAACCTGGTTTCATTGAAGAGTAATGTCAGAGAAGTGGAAGCTTGAACTGTGGTGCAATCAATCAAAATAACAAACAGAAATCATTCTGATGAGCACAGAGATGCGGATCAGCCACTTAACAGAATTCTGATTTTGGGGCGGTATAAGGATATATCTTTATGTTTCCTGTTTACAACTAAGTCCTATCTTTTTCTTTTTCTTTTCTCCTTTTCTGTAGCTGAGCTGGGGGACTATAGTGAAGCCGATCACAGTCCCGGCTATCTGTCGGAATACTGCTTCATCCCCACTCCGCCACAAGACTTCCATAAAGAGGTGGCCAAACACCACCAGCAGCACAGGTACGGCTGAGCACACACACACACACACACACACACGTGGAACACCGGCCTTAGATGATGAATATGTGATATGAAGCTCCATTCGGTGAAACATTAGTTATTACCTCTGCCTGTAGTGTTAAAGCAGAGGGATTATGAGGGATTGTGACACACAGGTAACTGTGTGCTGACATTTCCAGGTGTACACATAAACAGCTTCATATGCTGCCGATTACCTGACCTTTCCTCGGCCATTGCTTCGGTTTTCTCTTTGATTGCCGGTGTTTTGTTGTTCCTCTCCCCCCATACCTCTGACACACTGCCCTTCTCTCCCACTCACAACCTCCTGTCCTCCGTCTGCCTCCGTACCCTTCTCCCTCTCAGCGGCCTGTCTCCTGCCCAGTCAGAGTTTAATTATCTGAACACAGCACGTACGCTGGAGCTCTACGGGGTGGAGCTGCACTATGCAAGGGTAAGTAAGGTTTTTATTCCACCATGGGTGTGCCCCGTCTGTGTCTACACATAGTCTCACACAAGAGCTAAAGCGAGAATGCAGCTTTTTTCTTTTCCTAATGTATTAGGGGAAAATAGTCCACTTCAATTCCCAAAATATATGTATGTGTATATATGCATATCTACACACACATACACAAACATATTGGTATGTGAGAGCCCCTTACATGTACAGAGCATTAAAATTCTATCCTAAATTCCACACTTTCGGTTAGAAAGCCTAAAAAACCAGAGTCCCAGTGGAAGCCGAAAGCTGGTTCTAACCATGTAGACTAGAGGAAGTGACCCATGACATGTTTGCATCCAGACTGTGGTTCAGATGTGGATAAACGCATAAACAACCACCTCAGACGGTGGCCGCTTCTTAATGCATCCCTTACCCATCTGGAGTTTGTCCACATCTGTATTTACCACTGTCCACATGTGGGGTGTGTGTGAACAGGGTCCCAGAGACCCCTGAGCCTTTAGTGACATTAAATGTGAGTCACTTTCTTCTCTCTTTGGCTCTGTTGAGTCTTCACCTCACACCTCTGCATTCCTCCTCCCAGGACCAGAGTAACACAGAGATACTCATCGGGGTGATGTCTGCTGGCATTGTGATTTACAAAAACAGGGTACGGATCAACTACTTCCCATGGTGAGTGACACACTGTGAATACAAGAATGTGAGATCCCACATCACTGTTTTTCTTTTCTGTTTTGTTTGGTAAGGTTGTGTTTTGCTGTTTCTCTCCCTGGTATTTCACTGAGATAAGGAGACCTAGTAATCACTATAAAAGTTCTGGGATTTGGTTTAGATGGTGTCCAAATGAGCCCGGGTATAGCTGTGTAAGATGAGGGGTGTTTTGTGGATCCTTCTTGTGGAAGTTTTACGCCCAGCGATAGTGATCGGATCAGATCTTTCACAGTTCAGTTTTAGAAAGTCGGGCCCGTGTTTTATTTTGGCAAAGCCCTTGGTTACAGTGCATATGTAATTAGGACTGTAGCAGCCATCACCAGAACAACAGATCATTTTAAAGAAGCCAGAGCACTCATTAAACTCCATTAAAGCAGGCGTTCAGCCTTATTTTCAGAGTCAGTTGGAGAAGCCGGTGATCAGAGGCTCCAGTTACACCTGCTGTTGAATCGCAGGCAGAAAGTGTGGCAGCTCTCTGGTGGAAATAGAGCGTCTGTGTGGATTGGAACACGCTGAGAAGCTCTGATAGTGATTGAAAAAAAAAAAAAGTGTTCCTTATTGATATTTTCATAGTTTGAAGTGTGGATGTCCTTGTCACAAATCCACCTCTCTGCCCGTCCATGTGCTGCCAGCTCCTCTTGAACTGCCTCCAGGAATTCCTTTTGCACAGAACTTGGCTGCATATTAATTTTGGAAGCCTCTCATATGGTGATTATTGACATCACATATTAATGTTTAAGCTTCTGTTGATCTTTTGAGGCAGATAATTGCATCCAGTTCTTTGAGTGAGGGATTCGTTTTTTACCTGGTATTCTGAGACACATTAAATCCAACTAATCTGCTCCGTAACCTTCTTTGTCCTCATTGCGTTTCTTCCTGTCCTCGTCCTGTTTTCTATCTCCAAAGTATCAATTCCTAGAAATCCGCCGTGTGCTGCTGCTGATCAGTGGGAGGCTAAATGTTAATGGCTACATAAGGAACCAGTCGAGCTGACGTGTAGGCAGCACCCTGACCAGATGCACGTAGCAGCTGCTGCGTGTGCGTGCGCAAAATGGCCTATTTTGCTAATTTGAGCTTTGGTCTTCATGGTATTGTGGTAAATAAAAGAGCTCCGTGCACCCGATGCAAAGCCGTTTTGTCCGTTGAGCTAAATTTGGAGCCCCAACAGCGGTGTCTCCAGCAGCTGTCGGGTGCCGTGTGTGCGACAGAAAGCCTGAGACGTGCTGCTGGACGCTCTCTCTCCACCCTGCCCTCACTGGTTTTCCCTCATCGCTTTAAAACAAGTCTTCATCCCTACATGCGTTAAGGCCGTCCCTCTCTTTTCTTTTCTTCCTCTCCGTCTCTTCTTCCTTTGAAGCCCTCGTCCCTCCTAGTGTCGGTTAGAAAGCGAGATAAGAAAAAGGGTAAAAGATCAGCAGAGACACATTTAGGGTTCTGCCCTTTTTCCCCCGTTTCCAGCCCGACAAATGAGCCGCACTTAGAGGGGGCATGACTCACACTCCGCCTGAGCATGTGTGTGGCGCTCCGTCCAAGTGGGTATGAGTAAGTATGTAAAATATATTTAGCAGGGAGTGATGAGTCAGAGCAGCAACAGACCTCAAGGAGGAGGGGGGGGGGGGGGTACTGTTACTGTGCTGCCGCTGCTCTCAGAAGACGTCTCTACCGCGTGTGGTTGTGTGACAATCTGCCTTAAACTGCTCTGAGTCCATCACTGTCAGACTCTTATAACCCCCCCCAGCCTCGTAGAACAGGTAGGGCTTAAATGCACAGGATGTGCAGCATGGGTCAGTTCTTCAAAGACAAATAAGGACATCTATGATCAATGTACACATTTTTAGATAATTGTAAAATTATTACAGAAAAGCATATCAACAAACAGTCTTATTTTTTTACTTGTATAGTTTAATCTGGTGCATGTTTCCATAATCTGAAGCATGTGATCCCAAAGCTATGATGGAAATCTCAACCCTGTTGACTTCCTGTTCTTCATTCTGAAGAATGAAGAATTTAGGATTCTTCTTATCACATGAATGTAGGATTCTTCTTATCACATGAATTTAAGATTCTTCTTATCACATGAATTTAGGATTCTTCTTATCACATGAATTTAGGATTCTTCTTATAATATGAATTTAGGATTCTTCTTATCACATGATTTAGGATTCTTCTTAACGTATGAATTTAGGATTCTTCTTATCACATGAATTTAGGATTCTTCTTAACGTATGAATTTAGGATTCTTCTTATCACATGAATTTAGGATTCTTCTTATCACATGCAAAGCCCTGAACGCTGCTGGTGTTGGTTATTTTGATGTGGGGATGCTGCACTGTGAGGCTCAGAGGTGTCGAACACTGACAGGATGTTAAAGTGTGAGGAAATAGTTAAGGTTGCCTTTTTACCCCTTCTTCTGTCTTCTAATCTCCCAGCTTCCTCTGTCTGACAGCTCTGTGTTTTAACCCCTGCTGCGACACACCCACAAGCCACATGTTCGGGTTCAGTAGTTGAGCCTCTGTTCCCCAGACTGACCGCTATAATATCCTCTTTTGTCTCTCTTGGTCTTAGGCTGTTACTGCCTTTGCACTCACTTAGCTAAATGATGAGGAGGTGTAGCAAAAAAGTTATACCTCAGCATTTTCAGACAGAATGTTACTACACTGCATATATCAGTATTTCCCCTTGATCTTTCCTGGTAGAATATACTCTTATTATTCCTTTAAGCAGTTGTTAAAGACATCAGAAGTTAGCATCTGCTCCATCCTGCTGTGTCTGCTCTCACACTGCATCTCCATTCAGCTTGATTCCTAACAAAGCGGTTCTCTCTTTTCCTCTTTCTGTGGTCTGGAAGCACAATGAGTCAGAAATAGTAGCTGGTATTCATACCTTTCCCACCTTTTGACACAGTCCGTGGTCATTAAATAGGAGGGAGACATATATTAAAGGGGAACAACTCAGGTTTGCTGTGCTGTTTTGGCCATACTGGGAAACTGATTTATTTGTCTAACATATTGTTGCTCTTACAAGCTACTTTTTGGGAAAAACGTGCAAAATTATTAAGTTGGCAACAGCAAAATGAGACATTGTGAGCAGGTACAGCTCAAATCAGTGAGGAAAAATGCTCACACATAAACAGCCCAGTCGGATTTTCATTTCATCGAAAAGAACAAAGGTGAAACTTAAAATGTCGCTTCAGTTTTTGTCCTAATTTGTGTCTTCATTGTTGTTCAAACTTACCTTTCAGTTTTTTCCCCCTAAAGGGAACCAATATTCTTCAGAGTGATGCAGCTGCTGATCTCAGATCAGCTGTCTGGATATTTGTTTTCTATTTTTATTCATTTACAGTGTTGGTAGTTAGTTGGTGCTCATCGACAGACTGCATGTTACAAAAGGTTTTAATGCAAGAACAAGTACAGGCCTCTAAAGATTACTGTTGTTTTCATATGTTACTGGTGGTTTTTCAACTTTTTGTGATGACTGTGATGAGGACATTTTGATGACTGGCTTTTTTCTTTTTCCTGCTTCCAGGTTGAAAATAGTGAAAATCTCCTTCAAGTGCAAACAGTTTTTCATCCAGCTGAGAAGAGACGGGGTAGGTGCACACACACACACACACACACACACACACACACACACACACACAC